ACAATTGGATGATTCGGTGTTGTTGGTTTGGTTGTTGATTCTTCGTTAGATCTGGTCGGGTCGAATGACATGGCGGTGAAACTCGGCCCTGGATGGTGTGGCGTGAGTTACTCGGTCTCCTTCATTCTTCCAAACTCGTTCTGATCATGGTATTTCTTGTTGATTGTGCCATTTTTGGGAGAATTGATCGATTAATAATGTGTTGAACTTTATGTTTAAGCCCGTGGCTTTAATAAAATAATGGTCTATCCAAATAAAAGATAATCCGCACTCATCAAGTATATTTTTAATGTGAATAAGCCATTGGTTTTGGATTGAATTGTAAGAAAAACGATGTAGTAGTAATTTGTACATAATATAACTTAATTTAGTTTCTTTGTTTGTAATTAAACGAGCCCAGAAAGTAATCATTCTCACTTTTATGTCAATATTTAATGGATGTCGGCCAAGTTCACCATAAACCATATAATTTGGCGTGGATGACTTTACATGTAATATATATTTTCAAAATTTAAGATGAATTTGATCTAGAATATCTAAATTTTCGTAACCCCATACTTCACAGGAATAAATGAAAGTAGGTTTTACAATGGTATCAAAAAGTTCTAGTTGTCAGTCGATTGGTAAATTGTGGTATCTACATTTTTGAAGTACTGCATACATTGATCTAGTTCCGCGATGGCATAGATCTTTACGAGCTTTTAAAAAACTTCCAGATTTAGCAAATATTAAACCAAGATATTTGAATTCGTTAACTATTTCCAATTCCAGGTTAGCATATTGAAAGTTTACATTTTTTGATAATCTCCCTTTACCAAACACAAGTATTAGTTTTTTTCGGTATTAACATTTAAACGCCATTGATTACAGTAATTATAAAATGAATGAAGTTAGGTTTGTAAATCAGTTGGGTTTTCAGCACATAAGCAGGGGTCGTCAGCATAAAGAAGAGCAAAAAGTTTTAAAAAGGTTCCTAGTCTCAGTTCCACTTCTTTATTTATAGTTTCTAGTCCAATCATATTATTTTCCTCAAAGTAATTACTCAAATCATTTAGGTAAATCGAAAATAGAAATGGAGACAAGTTTTCACCCTGTCTAACGCCAATAGGAGAATAAATACGATGATTCGTTTTCAGTAGTGATTCTTGATTTAATAGAACTATACAAGTTATAAATAACCTTATTTAACGCATTAGGCCCACCTTCCTTAAGTCTTATACACCAATCATCGGACTTGTTTTTGCAAGAGATTGGTAGGTAGGTAGATGACAAGTTAACGTTCGCTTCCAGCGGATGCTGATATCGCAAACTAGGTAGTTGTTGGTAGTCGTAGTAGTTGGTAGTTGGATTGGATCAAATTGTATGATTCGGTGTTGTTGGTTTGGTTGT